AAAAAAAAATGTGGGGGGGGGGATCTTCATCATTCCATAAAATATTAGCTGTGTGATTTAAGTTTTGTGCAAAGGCCAGTAATGGGAAAATATACAATGGGGTCCAAAATCTGATACCACAATGAAAATCTGAGATGTAGATAATTATTTAGGCCTGAATAGAGCAGACAAATTCAAAACAAAGACAAGTTAACAACATATTCAAGATTCTGCACTATTTGTAGATCAGTAATTACATTTGTGACATTGATCATGTTTTTCTATGAAAGGTCAGATGTTTTTGATTCCACTGAAGAACAAAATGGTCTTAGGAACATTCTCAAATCATACTGGATGAACATGATCATCAGGTTTTACACAAATTTGTGGAACTCTATTGCTGCTGTCATTAAAACAAAAGGTGTATGGAACAAACTATGAAGACATTCTGACATTTCATGTAATTTTTTTTTTTACTCACACTGTTGTTCTGATAATATATTATTAATGAGAAATAAGACATTTAAAACAAAGTACATTAAATAAAGGCAATTTGTTAGCATTCCCAATTTTGGAACTACATTAAGGTCAAAATAATACGAACCCAAACGTAACCCAAATGTCATGCAAAATGTTTTCTCATTTTGTTATGTTGCATATTTATTCTGTAATGGTTTACTTTTTGTTCACATCCATCTACACCCCATTCCCACATCTGTCTATAATGTCTAAAAGCTAGAAATGCATATGAAGTTGTATGGAGTGCAGATTGATGTGAACAGAAAGAATATAGTTTACACAATAAATGGTTGTATTTATGTTCAATTCATATCATTCTGTTGTCTAGAAATTGCTTATTTTTATTATAAAGAATATATTTTCAACTGCAATCTCTATGTTTTATTATAGAATAAAAAAAAAATGTCTGAGTCTAGCTTGTTCTCTCGCTTTGCAGTTATCAGCTGTGGGGATCCTGGTCCAATTGCCAATGGAATATACATTGGAAATGAGTTCATATTTAACAAAACCGTCCACTATCGCTGTAACCCTGGGTATGTGATGGAGCCCCCTGGTTCATCTACTCTACGCTGCAGCAAAGATGGCACTTGGAATCAGACCAAACCAAGCTGCAGAGGTAAGGAAGTATAGTTCTCCATGATTCTCTCTGTGCAGGCAGAGAGGGCAGCATATCCTGTCACTCTGCAAACAGCATCTTAGCTGTTTGCAGACATCTCTTAAAAGCAACATAGCTTTTAAGAGATATACTAATATTGTGGAGTTCTTAGCATCCCAACATCAAAAGCCTTTCAGATGTTTTTGATCTTTGTTTTTTTGACTTGCCTGGCAAGTGAGATTATTCACTTATGAACTCCAAGGAGATGTTGCCATGAAATCTGTAGGATCTATGTTATCAGATGTCAGAATGAAATTAGCGAGTGGTGCAATGCAGAAAGCTCAGTCACGATCATTTCTAGAAAATATCAGATACATGTTTTCGGACGCAGGAAGAAATGCAACGGATGCTTGAAATTCAGAGTGATTTTAGTACGTAATCCCATTTAATCATTGCTTCCTCCTGTTAGCAAACGGAACGTAATGATCATGGAAAGAAAATAAATAACTCTAAGCCCCTTGTTAGCATACTATTCTTTCAGATCTTCCTTTTCCGCGTCTGAACAAGTGAAAGAAGGAGGTGTTGGGTCTGGACACATCTTCAGTCAATAATAATGATGGTGATGAAATCAGGGCTGTTCAGAATGCCTTTAAAATGCCTTTCAGTTCCATCCCTTAGTTTGAACTGAGGTAGCAAACAGAATATGGAATTTGATTTTGAAACTGAATGTAGGACAGTCAAATAAAATTCACAATCACTGCTGTAAGTGTAGATTTTAATGCTACATGGGACACTTCGAGAAATATTTGTTTATATTGATAATCGCTGTTTAAAAAGCCACCTATAGAGGCATGTATTTAATTTCTATACTATATGTGAACCTGGACCACAAAACCAGTCTTAAGTCGCTGGGGTATATTTATATTTATATATTTATATTTATAATATACAGATTTTTCTGTTATGCCAAAAATCATTAGGATATTAAGTAAAGATCATGTTCCATGAAGATATTTTGTAAATTTCCTACCACAAATATATCAATACTTAATTTTTGATTAGTAATATGCATGGCTAAGAACTTCATTTTATATATATATATATACTGTATATATATATTTATATGTTGTAATTTTATACAATTTATTAATTAGAACATTTGAATTCATGTAAAGTAAGGTACGAGAAGTCATGCTGTGAATACAGTCACAGCTAAAGAGGTTTTATGAAAAGCGGAGTGCATTCACAATACAGCATATCCTCAAGTACCCTATTTCTTTTATAAAACAAACATTATAATTTCTTAAAGTCAAAAATATGTATTAATATGTTACTTTTTGAAGTAAAACCATCAAAAAAGAGGGCAAGTTGCGGGTTCGAGTCTCGTACCGGCAGGGATTGTAGGTGGGGTATTCAGCTTGTATGTATAATATAATGATGTATAAATGTCAATTTAAAAAAATGTACCCTTATGACTGGTTTTATGGTCCAGGGTCACGTATGTGTAGTTGACATGAACTATTTTGAAACATATCCTGCAGTATGACAAAACACTTTTCTAATTATAGCATAATGATTAGCCATGCAGCATTTATGAACTCATTAATTTGGAGATTACATGGAACTTTTTAAAAATTAATTTGTCATACCTCAGGACCATTTATGAAGGAAAAAAGGTGTGATTAAAAACAGTGCAAACTTTACAAGAGATGGTGTTCAGTTACTGCATGTAAAAATGTCCTTAATGCATTATTATACACTTTTAATTGTAACATTTTTATATTGACAAAAAAAACAAATCTGCTGTTAAGCATCAACTACATATACTGTATTTTTGACAATGGTCAAACAGAATGCTGTAATTTATGGCAAATTTTGATTATTTTTTTTTTAAGTTATATGAAAGTGTGATGCTTTTTACATTATTTTTTTATTATTATTATTTATTTTTTTTAGTATTGAGAAATATGTGCAATCAGTTAAAGATGTATTCTACATATCACATATCAGTAAATTTTGACAGGATTAGCCCCACTAATTATAATTTATGTGTGTTGTCAAAACTTGGACTAATGGAAACCTTTTGTAGTATGAGTGTGTTACATTTCTTTAAATTGCAATGTAGTAATATACTGAAGATCCAGTGAGCTTTGGCCAATTCAAATTCCACCACATAAAATGACAAGGGAGCCAATTCATGAATACTGCATACTGTCTAACTTTGTTGTGGTGGTGTTTTTCAGTCATCATGTGTGGCCAGCCTCCAGCTATCCGCAATGGGCAAGTGGAGGGCTCAGACCTGCAGTGGGGTTCTAGTGTTACCTACAGCTGCTTTGAAGGATACCAGTTGTCCTCTCCTGGAATAGCCACATGTGAAGGGAACGGCTCATGGCGTGGCGAAATCCCACAGTGTCTGCGTAAGTACCGTTCTGTTCAATTAACAGTAAACAGAATTAAACTCCATTAGCACATCCATGAAAAGAGGATGTAAACAATGTGTTTTGCTTCAGTAGACAGCATATTTAATTACAAATGAAAATGAGGCTGTGAGGGATATAAGTACAGTTTGTACTTTAGAACGCCTTCTGCAGTTCTTCTTGTCCACTGAAAATTCATGGAAAGTTGTATTTACAAGGTACAGTATACATTTCTTTGTCACTCTCACATTTGAAGAAACAAAACAAAAAACAGGTGGCTGTCCAAATACATCTTCTGCAGTATAAACGATATAGGAAAATCTCAACCATCTTGACAAATTTCTGCCATCACACCATACATACCATCATAGCGCCCTGCCGTAAATCCATATATGGGCCAAAAGTTGATATTTTCTGTGGCGGCTGTTGTTGTGTTTGGAGTATTGTGTCGCTATGATGGAAGGTTCATGGCTTGACTGTGTGAAACCCAGCTACAGCACATCATAAAACCTGTTTTGACATTTTCAATACAAGTGTCAAAACATCACAAATGGATCCCTCAAGTAGCCTGGCTTTCCGGCATGCAGCGTAAGAGGTACGAGGTGCATGCACGGAATCTGCCGGTAAATCCTTCTGACTTTTATTGTAAGCCTTTGACACAATGTCAGCGGTTACAACAGAAATCCTCGTTAAAAGTGCCAGAAAAAAAGAAACCATATTGTAGGTGCAAACACCAAAAAGTACTATTATATAGAAGAGAACAGGGCTAGTTGTCTGACAGAGAAGATGTCATGAAGACTATATCCCAGTAAAAGTTTGAAGACAAAAGACACAAGTGCTTGTTTTCTCCAGAAGTGTTTTTTTTTATGTTTGTTTCAAACCTCTTGTTCAATACCTTTTTTTTTGTGTTCACTGCTGTGTGTGTGCACTTAGGATGGGATAAATGCAGAGCACTAATTCCGAGTATGGGTCACCATACTTGGCCACATGTCACGTCACGTCATGTCAAATACCATCCTTCCACTAGAAAAAAATAGTCCCTGACCGTAAACAGCAACAGAATGTTACTGTAGGTGTAACATGTTTCCTCACGCATATATGTGTGTTGCGCTCTCAGCATGAGAAAACATTTGTTTTCCATCTTTTAGTTTAAATCAGTTTGCGGCGCAGTGCAAGTCTGCCTAAGGAGCATCATTAAACAGTGTAACTCGATGAACATACAGTATCATACCTGAAATAGAAAACTTTTGAATGTTATCCTTTGTGCACAACTCAACGGCTACATATGTAACTGTCCGTAAATTATTTATTTGCCAGATAATCGTTTGGTTTGTTGGTGTGTGGATTATTTCATGCGCAAGGAAAGCTGTCTGCGAATCGCTCGCCCAAAAATGTGCTGTTGCTACCATATCTTGATTACCAAAAATCACATTGTATTCGATGCAAAACTAACTTGATCAAATGAAAAAAAAGAATAATAATAATGTAACTCTAAATTTAATACTCTATATATACTTTTGTGTTTTCTCAAGCAAAGCAAATTTTGAAAGTCTACTGAAAACATATCTTCTTACATGTTTTTGAATAGATAAAAGATTTTGAAAGTACGTTATTTGGCAACATGGGTGTGCGAACTAATCAAAAGAACCATTTCTGAGGATTTTTTTTTTTTGTTCTATTTGTTTTCCCAAATCCCAATGCTGGACAATATGCCTTGCTTTTTGCTTTAGGAAAAAGGATGACAGCTAGTCCTGGTCTCCCCTAAAGTACATACAGTACCTCACAATGCAGCACAATGCTGAATACTGCAGGCTGGTGGATATTCAGCCTTCTCCGTTTCTCCTAGATCACACCTCAGCTACACTTCTTCCACTGGCTCCCTATGCCTGCAAGAATCAAGTTCAAACATTTGTCCTAGCGTACAAAGCAGTCATTGGTCAGGCATCCACCACCATCCAATCCATGCTGACACCTAGGATTACTCAGCCTCTCATCCAAACATGTGACTGATTCAACTTAAAATTAAAAACTTGGGGGAAAGAAAGGGTCTACTGTAAATCTTCAGTTGCAGACTGTAGACTCACTTCTTTCAGCATTGTATTAATACCAAATCGTTGTTGATTTTTGGCTTGTTTATTTCCCCAAGATTGCATTGTATCTATATTAGCTCTAATGTAGTAGCCCTTTGCCATCTGTTGATCCTCTCTCAAATGTGATGCTAAAGCACTTTCTAAATGCCTTAAATACTGCAAGAACAAGTGAAGCACCTGAGAATACAAATAAAGAGCAGAACTAGAAGTGTGACTACTTTTTTAGTCCTGTTTGAGTGTTAAAATTTGTCAAAATCAAACACACCAACACCTTTCACTGCTAAATTGCACTCTTGAAAAAGAAAGTAGCTGAACTGAGGCAATGATTGCGAACTAGCGGGCTAACTTTTTTTTTTGTCCTTTATAGCGGTGTTATGTGGAGATCCAGGCTCCCCTGCAGAGGGCTTCATAGAGGGCCGGCAGTTCACCTACAAATCAGAGGTGTCATTCTACTGCAGACCTCCATTCCTGCAGGTGGGCTCCTCAAGAAGAGTTTGTGAGGCGGACGGTTCATGGAGTGGAATACAGCCTTCTTGCATTGGTTAGCCACTATGCACCTTGGAAAAAAGCAATGCTATTACGTTTCCATGCAATATTTGTAATAAATGTAAATGAATTCTTTAAAAAAAATCAATTTGTAGATCCATCCAGCAATGCATGTAAGGATCCCGGAACCCCATCATATGGAATTCCAGTCCAGGCTCAGGGATTTGAGGTGAGAACAAATGACATTCAATCATTCCCTGTCCTTTAGTTGAGTAAATTACAGGTTATGCTTCTTTGGTTTCAATCTCAATAATGTAATTCTCTTCTTTCAGGTCGGAAGTAAAATTTTCTTCAGATGTCGGAAAAACTATCACATCCTTGGCTCAACAACGAGAACGTGTTTAGAAAACTTAACATGGAGTGGGATGCAACCAGAGTGTGTTGGTAAGCATCAATATATACAGATTCTGTTCCAAAAGCTAGTGAGCTGCCCATGCTGGCAGCATCATAGTGCCCTGAGCGTGAAAGCTGTTCTGAGTAACCTTCTTTTGGCCAAATTCTAAATTAACATCGCATGTATCCTTTGCACAGAAGACAATACCAGGTTGCATTGTGACAAGGTCATTTAAAAAATCAAACCGAGATGGGAAAAATAAGGAATGCATTCAATATTGAAAAAATATTTCTTAAAATAAATCAGTCTGATTAAAAATAGATTATTTTATACATTGAGTGTTCTACATATTATTATGTCGCACGCACAGTTTTGGTAACACTTTATTTTAAAGTGCCCCTATTATGGGTAATGAAATATTTTCATATTTTGGTTTTGGGAGTCCCCAACAACAGGTTGACATGCATGCAAGGGCAAAAAACAATTTAATTGTCTTATAATATGCATTTATTTTTACCTTATTTGCTCAACGACTCCCAATCGATTCACTCTACGATTAATTTTTCCAAACCCCTCCTTTGCGTGACGCTAATCTGCAGTGATTGGTCGATTGGTCTCATTTCCATTTCATCTCGCCTGTAATGCCTGATAAAGCAGCGTTTGTAAGCACAGTGCTGCTTTGTGTACAGCATTACCGGGGAAACCGCTATTTTTACCGCTCTAAAAGCGGCACCTAGTGGCAAAGAATGAATTTGCATTTTCAT